CTCTGGGCTTAGGCGCTGTCCCTCAGCTCTTCAGCTCAAGGCTAGCGCTCTACCACTTGAGCCACAGCACCACTTCCGGCTTTTTTCTTATGTGGGGCTGAGGAATCAAACCCAGGGCCTCAGGCATGCAAGGCAAGCACTCTACCACTGAGCTACCTTCCCAGCCCCCAAAGGAAAGCATTCTGAGCAACAGAAAATGTAAAATTAAATAAATATAAGTGCAAATGCTAGTCATTGTGCTGTGATGGTCAAGATAAGCCAGTTAAACTGGCTAATGGAAACTGAATTGACTGGAGGAGATTTAAGGGTGTTTAAGAGACCTCCTTAAAAAATTTTTAGGAAGGTGATAGTGAAATACAACTGTCATTTTCATTTCTCCTACAACTTTGAAAGCTCCCTTGACAAGAGTACTTAGGTTTGAACTCAGCACCAGGGTGTTGTTCCTTAGTTATTTTAGTCAAGGCTGATGCTCTACCACTTGAGCTACAGCTCCACTTCCAGCCTTTTGCTGATTAATCGGAGATAGGAATCTTCACAGACCATCTTGCCCAAGCTAGCTTTGAACTCCAATCCTCAAATATAAGCCTCCTGAATAGTTAGAATTACAAGCAAGAGCCACAAATGCTTGGCCCAAAGAACTTTTCATATAAAATCAGATAGAGTTTTTACAGAAGCAGCTGTGCCTGCAGAAGATTGTAATTCTCACCCTGTTATTACTACATCTTCCTACTTCAAAAATTTGGACCTGGTCCTTTGATCATATGAAGATGTGGTATAATTTGAAGAACCAAAAAAACCTTCCCAACTAAGAGCTTTCTAGCATTTTATTGTATTACAGCATCTTCCTTAATAAAAGAGAATACACTTGCTGGTGAACATCTAAAAGGAATGGTTTTAGCCGGGCGCTTGGTGGCTCATGCCTGTAATTGTAGCTACACAGGAGCCTGAGATCTAAGGATTGTGGTTCAAAGCTAGCCTAGGCAGGAATTCCCGTGAGACTCTTATCTCCAATTAACCACTTGAAAACTGGAAGTGGCGCTGTGGCTCAAGTGGTAGAGTGCTTGCCTCGAGCTGAAGAGCTGAGGGACAGCACCCAGGCCCAGAGTTCAATCACCATGATGGACCAAAAAAAAAAAGGAATGATTTTTTGCATTTGTTTATTGGATGAAATATTATTTAATGCCTTCTGTATTCTAGCTGCTGGGGAAATGAAGGTGAATAAAATTTATACTATCCTTTGCAAAGTTCATGGTCCAGGAGGTTGTAAACATGTAAACAAAATTGTAATGTAGTAAATTGTATAATAAAGGCATGTATAAAGTGTTAGGGATATAAATACTGTAAATTCCATAGGGACAACATTATGTTGGTCTTGTTCAGAATCGTACTTCATAACCTAACAGTATCTGGTGAGTTTTACACATTCAATTAATATCTGTAAAGTAAAAGTAACAAAGGTAGGTTTAAGCTAGGTGCTGATGGCTCACACCACCAGCTTAGATCTGAGGATTGTGGGTTAAAACCAGCTTGGGTAAGAAAGTTCATGAGACTCTTATATCCAATTAAGCATCAAAAAAGCTGGATGTTAGCCAGGTGCCAGTGGCTCATGCCTGTAATCCTAGCTACTCAGGAGGCTGAGATCTGAGGATCACAGTTCAAAGCCAGCCTGGGCAGGAAAGTCTGAGAGACTTTTTTTCCTTTGGTCAGTTGTGGGGCTTGAACTCTGGGCCTGGGACTGGGTGCTGTCCCTCCGCTTTTCAGCTCAAGGCAAGTGCTCTACCACTTGAGCCACAGCACCACTTCCGGTTTTCTGGTGGTTTATTGGAGATAGGAGTTTCATGGACTTTCCTGCCCTGGGTGGCTTTGAATTGTGATCCTCAAATCTCAACCTTCTAAATAGCTAGGATTACAGGCCTGAGCCACCAGCACCTTTCTCTGAGAGACTCTTATCTCCAATACACCACCACAAAACCAGAACTGGCGCTGTGGGTCAAGTGGTAGAGCGCTCACCTTGAACTTATAAGCTAAAGGACAGCACCCAGGCCCAGAGTTCAAGCCCCACAACTGACAGGGAGAAAAAGAAAAAAGAAAGCTCAGAGACAGCACCCAGGCCCTGAGTTCAAGCTTGGCTCAAAAAAAAAAAAAAAAAAGCTAGGTGTAAGATAACCTTAAGGAGAATACCGCCTAGAGGAGGAAAGAAAGGCTGATAACACTGTAGAAAGTATCTCACAAGGGGCTGGGAAGGTGGCTCAGTGGTAGAGCGCTTGCCTTGCATGCATAAGGCCCTGGGTTTGATTCCCCAGCACCACATAAGCAAAAAGAAAAAAAGCCAGAAGTGGCACTGTGGCTCAAGTGGTAGAGCACTAGCTTTGAGCTGAAGAGCTGAGGGACAGTGCCCAGGCCCAGAGTTCAGGCCCCACAACCGGACCCAAAAAAAAAAAAAATCTGACATTTGGTTTACCTAAAGTACAATTTACTAGTTAAAGCAGAAGAAATAACACTGTAAGGATCCATAGGAGCCTTAGTGTTGAATAGCTTTGAAAAATAGACTGAGGAATTATTTTCCCAGTGCTAGGATCAAACCTAAGGTCTTGTACATGCTAGCCAATTTTTCCCCATCCATTGTACAGCTTGAACTCAGGGCCTTGATACTATCCCTGAGTTTCTCACTCAAGGCTAGAGCTCTACCACTTTGATCTACAGTTCCACTTTCTGGCGGTTAATTAGCAATGAGTCTCATGAACTTTCCTACCCAGGCTGGCTTTGTTTGTTTTTGTTGGTGGTGGTTTTTTGTCAGTCATGGGGGCTGAATTCTGGGCCTGGGTGCTGTCCCTCAGCTCTTCAACTCAAGGCTAGCGCCCTACCACTTGAGCCACAGTGCCACTTTCAGCCTTTTTCTGCTTATGTAGTGTTGAGGAATCGAACTCAGAGCTTCATGCATGTGAGGCAAGCACTCTACCACTGAGCCAACTTCCCAGCCCCCAGGCTGGCTTTGAACCATGATCCTCAATCTCAGCCTCCTGAGTAGCTTGCAATACAGGCATGAGCCACTGGCGCCCAACAGACAAATGCTTTACTATCGACTTATACTACCTAGCCTCAGTTGTTAAAGAAAAAAAAATAGTTATGATTGTGAAAAACAAGTAAGAAAGATTTTATTCAGGATCACTGCAATGGGATTTTGCAGTAGGGAAGAGATTGGGTTCAACCCCAACTACAGCTTTCTTTGGCAAATAGAAATGTATACAAAATGAGCAAGGTTAGTAAATTGAAAATTAATGAGGTAACATTAGAGCAAAGGGGATTCTGCATGAACTGAATAACTAGCATTATCACTGGAGACAGGCCAGGCCAGATTGATGACATATTACTTAGGTGATAGTTAGGATCCAAGGCCTTAACCAACATCTTGGTCTAGCAAGTCTAAACCAATGCAAAAGAGATATTGTTCCAACATATCTTGCTTT